ATGTACACTGTTTATATATGTGTTACAATATTCATGTACACAATTTATTTATAAATGTTACAACAATTTTTTTTTGTTGAACAGACGGGGGTACGTGTCAAGCGAGTATGATGAACTGCCCCAAAGAAACCCAACCAAGAAACAGTCCCACAGGCCACCCCACGGTATGGAAATTAAGACTTTGGGACGTTATTCCGAACTACTTCACTGATGAGAAGCAAGTTTGTCTATTGCAGTTGGACGATGTTGGTTCATATCGGATATGTTTGGTTAGGGTTTAGGGTTATAGAGGTGGATTTTGTGGCTATTGTATTGCGTTTGAGTGTCCTCAATATTACAGATCTGACGGAGAGTGTAGTGGCACGTACTATACATGCAAAATTATCATACACATACATACATACATACATTACATACATACATACATACATGCATACATACATACATACATACATACATACATACATACATATATACGTACATACATACATACATGCATAGATACATACATACATACATACATACATACATACATACAAACATACATAAATACTTACATACATACATACATACATACATACCTGCATGCATACACACATACATACATACACATATACATTCGTACCTACCTACGTATTGTAATCATCTGTGTCTCATTTCTATCCCGTTTAGACTGTCCTCACGGTGTACACCAACATTCTTGTACACACGCACATCCTTATTCGGTCGCATCACAGTGTATAGTAGTGATGCTACACAGTGTATTGCCCTTTCATTCATGGCTCATACATCTGTCACACAGTAGTTAATTCGCTTCACTCCTTTTGTGTTAGGGTTTTAGGGTTTTGTCCTAGCAACCGCTATCTAAATCCATTCTTCGATTAAATGAACTTCAGCAGCGCTCAGTATATATATATATATATATGTGTGTGTGTAAACTAACGCATACCTTGCACACAGAGAAAGCCAAATGTGCGCGCGTGGCCTATGCCTCATCGTCATCTGACGTATCGGACAGCAACACCAGCGACAGCGCACACATAACACTTCCGCAATCGCAGAGAACAAAATCTGTGAAACAGACCAAACGTATGTGATGAGATTGTATGTATATATGTGTGATATACGTGTATGTGTAGGTGTATGTGGGTATGTGTGCTTTTATGTGTGTATGTGTGTATATGTGTAAGTATGTGCGTGTGTTTGTGTATGAATGAGTGACAATGTGAGTGTATCAACAACTTTGTCCTTGAAACAAAACAACGAATAATTAAATAATCGAAGTGTCCTAGAAAAGAAGAAAAAACAAGTGATAAATAAATAATCTAAGTGAATATTATCTGTGAAGACGGCTATTCTTTTGTATGGGTTTTAGCGTTTTTAGCGTTTTAGGGTTCTGATGTATGTCTGTGTGTGCGTACAGTCTACCAATCTGTCCGCACAACACGTACACTAAACGTATGTGTGTATGGTCCATATACATATACATATATATATACATATATATATATATATATGTGTGTATATACATATACATTTACATTTACATATATACATATACATATGCATATACACATACATATACATATACATATACATATACATATACATATACTCATACTTATACATGTACATATATCTTTTTTTTCCGGGAACATACCACACCACAACACATGTGTACTATTGAGTCTTGCGCACAATATCGACCAAACGTAGAACGTACGTACATGCGTGGCTACTCCCCTGTACCTTCGTACGAAAAACAAGCAAATGTGTACAGTCGATTTGTGGGAGTGTGCACGGATGTAGAGTTTTTAATTTCAGAGGGTTATAGGGTTTTAGGCTTTTAGGCGACTGTATTGGTTCCGTGTGGCATGACGCTCTCTCACTTTATTTCCGACATTCTCATTGGTCCGCGCAGCTGCGGCAAAAAGCCTGAAGCACCACAGACACAATGAACAACCAAAGAATAAGCCAACCAATCAGATCGCCGCAACCGCTGGACTGCCCTGGTCTCAGCCAATAGAAGCACTGTATGACTCGATGTTCTATTTTTAGATTCCAGTGTCATTGTATGTATGCGCATCACTCTGTTCGGATAAAGTACGAATGTGCGCTGGTCGATAGTTGTGTGCTATTGATCTGATATATTCACTGTAAGGTCTCATCGGACCCTAAAACCCTAAACCCTACGCACATGTCATGTCGTCACAGATACCACGACGAAATTGCGAACGAAGGTGGCGACTTACAATTGGTTCAAGAAATGAGTGGCAATTTATCGGCACACTCTCATTCGTCGCGGGATCAAAGGACCAATCAGAAACGAAGAAAATCCAAGAAAAACAAAAGGCACCAATCAAAACGTTCCAGAACCAATTCCCCGGACAGTGTTAAAAATAGACCACCGCGGTTGAATGCAAGACAGCTGGCAATACAACGCAAGAACCCGTTTGCGTCGCAAAATCGATTCGACCAATTAGATGCGCGAGAATCGCGGGCTGGAGCCAATCAGATCGCAAAGAATGACGCGGACAGTGACATATCTGTGACGGACTACTTGTCTGTGCTCAAGCGCAAGGAGGCTGAGCTGTACAGTGCAGAGACAATGTATGTGCGTGTGCACGGCCGTTGGTATAGACTGTGCCGTTGTAGAGTTTAACCACTACGTGTAGGGTTTAGGGTTTTTAGGTCAGTTTTTCATTGTTTTAGGCATTTGTCGCGTATAGGGTTTTTAGTTAGGTGTTTGA